GAGAAATTTAATACACTAAAAATGTTAAAAAACTCACATTTTCTATATAGAAGAAAGACACTAGGTTTTCTCATGAAATTAGCTTTTTTGCATTATTTTTACTACCTCACATGTTTCAAAATATATTCAATCGATGCAGCATGAACAACTGAATCGAATAAGTGTATTTCGAAACATGTGAGGTTGTAGAAAGAATGCAAAAAAGCTAATTTCATGGGAAGACCTTGTGTTTTTCTTCCATATAGAAAATGTGAGTTTTTTAACATTTTTAGTGTATTAAATTTCTCAAAATTTTATAAGTCCGACATTACAAAGTTTACAAAAGCCTTACTATTTAGTATCAGTAAATCCCATTTTTGACGAGCTTTCATTTAGTATAAAATTCATAACATACTTCTCCCTGAAATAATATTCTTCCTATGGGGTATCAGGTCGGCTGTTAATGTTAACGTCCATATATATATAGACGACGCTCAACTGATGTGAACGAGAAAAACGTAGGTGATTATGCTGAACGTCATTTGCAAGAACTGCTCAATGAAAAAATATCGGACCGTGATTATCATATTTTTCGCAAATACTTTAATGATGATATAAGTGACAAAACGTATACAATGGAAGCATTTTATGAACTCTTTCACTTGACAAAGACATATGGTAAAATATAATATGTTCTTTTTTTCTTTGAAAATAAATTTGTATTCTCTTTAGGAGAACGTTTGCTTGATATATTTGGAGAGAAGTCATGTATTCAAGCAAATTCAATCAATGGCCATCGTGTTATTCGTATTGCTCGTGTACTGTCCATGGCATCTATGTCAGTCAAAGCACTTATTCTATTCAAAGTATTGGACCATGATGGTGATAAATATGTGTCTATTGAAGAAATAAAACAATTTTACGAAATTTATCTTGATGAATTTAAGTTTCCTTGTGATTCTTCACGTCGTCAAGAATTAATTGATACACTTCTTCAAGCATTTGGAATGAACGATGCTAATCGTCAAATGAATTTTGATAAATTCTATAAAATTCTTCAAGAAAAACCAAACTTATTGGAATCTCTTCAACTTATGAATATTCCAAATAATGATGATCAAATTGATAAAATAAAATGGAAAGCATGGCGAAAAAATAATAAATATCATATTATCATTATTCTCTTATACATATTAACCACAATTGCTTTAGATATCTCTGTGATAATTGAATTGGTTGTTAAGGAACAAATTCGAAATTTTTGGCTAATTCTTGCGCATATTGCTGGATTCTCAATTAAATTAAATTTTGTTCTTTCGATTGTGCTTATGCTCAAACATTGTATGGTATTAATAAGAGCACGACGATGGTTGAGACGGTTTTTACCCGTCGATGATCATATTGATGCTCATCGTTATGTTGGAGTTGCATTAGCAGTCTATAGTGTAGTTCATTCGTTAGCTCATGTAATAAATTATGCTACAAATACTAAAGGTAATTTTAAAGAAATATTTAAGATTAAAAACCTATTCTAACTCATCAAAGACTTTTCATTTGATGAATTAATGATTAGAATGGCAATCTTTTTTAAAATATAAAATTTTTCTAATGAGCAAAACCAAAAATAAGATGAATCAAATAGTAAAAATAAGAAGATGAAATGAAATAGTCTACACAAGAATAACAGTAACGGATATATCAGTATCAAATGAAAATTTTAGAAACAAATTGTGTACTTGAAATATCACTGTAGAATTTCTTCATTCATTTTTCTAGTATCCTTATTAATATAATCAAATTAAATAGATTTACTACATTAAATTTTTTTGTACTCTCGTTTAGATTATTCATTTTTTCAATCAATGTTTACATCTGTTCGACAACAAGGTTGGGTAAATGGATCGGCCGCTATAACTAGCAATATTCTCCTTGTCTTATTTTCTTTGATGATTATTTTTTCATTGCAATGTATCCGTAAACGTACAGGATTTTATATGGTTTTTCACTATACACATTTATTATTCTGGCCTATTTTTGTTCTTCTTATTATTCATTCAAGAGACTTTTGGAAATGGACATGTGCACCCATGTTTTTATATATGTGTGAAAAAATCTATCTACTAAAACGTTATTTGCCCAAAAATGGTCGTACACATTTGAAATCATTAAGAATTGAAGATAAAAATACAATATCGTTTAATATTAATAGACCTGAACATTTTAATTTTAACGTAGGCGACTATGTTTATATTTGTTTTCCTCGAATAGGTAACAATAGAATTAATTACTAATCGAAATATATTAATGTTAATGTTTATCTATTTTAGTTTCACATCAATGGCATCCGTTTACAATTTCGAGCTGTCCAGAAAATAACGATATTATACGATTTCATATGATGAAAAAGAAAAATTGGACACGAAAAGTATATGATTATTTTGTTAAAGAATGGGAACGTCAAAAAGAACACAAAGAAAGTTTTATGGAACAGTTCACATCAGTAACTACTGATACATGTATTCCTGAAGTTAATCATCCTTATGTAATGGACAGTACTGAATCCATTTGGATTGAAGGACCTTATAGCAGTTCAACATCCTATATGTTCAATTGTGAACATGTTGTTTTAATTGGTGCAGGAATCGGTATGTAAGAATACTATATGACATTATTTAATAGAACCATTTATAATTTTTGGTTAATCGATAGAGTACAACTTATCCTATTTTCTATGATAGAATATTGATACGAACTATTGAAAGTATGTTACTAATTACATAGAGATGTTTATAAGAATGAAATTATCACATAAATTCAAATCCAGAACTGAAAAAGAAAATACTATGATGAACATAAGAAACTTTTATAGAAAGTATGAAGAATTGAAAGAGTAATCAATAATCGATGTTAACTAAATACTTTCATTCTTGTGTCGAACCTATGAAAATCATTTAGCTTTAATCATGTCATAGAATTACTTTAGGATGCTATCGAAAGCAATAGTTTTTCAACAACAAAACTTTTGGAAAATTTGGTAAATGTTTTAAATTTCAGTACTTATGAAAGTCATTTTTCAAATTAAAACTACCATTTCGTTTTATGATAGAAACATGTTTTTTGTTGTCAAGATTTTTTTTTCAGTATTTATTTGTTTAAGCACATGTTTGAATATTAGAAGAGTTTTTTTTGCAAAAACAATTGGTTTTTTAAGTTAATGTTAGCAATAGAAAATAGATTAGAACGGAAGATCACATTTGCAGGAGCGATGTAAGTTTTCGTTAAAGATTATGATGATCTTTTATACCAAGAGGATCGATCAATATCATCAAATTAACTTCACTCTATTGGTATCTTTATTAGAGATGATTTGTTCGAAAACTATTTAGATTGTTTTTTATTTAAATAATAGACATATGTTACTCACTTCAATTGTTCGAAATATGTTTTTCTATTTATTATTTTTCTTCAGGCATTACTCCATATGCAAGTGCTCTCGAATGTTTAATGCACCATTTTCGAGAACGACAAACAATATGCAAGCAATGCCATCATGTATCTTATAAGCAAGAAGCTATTCAATATCGTAAATTAAAAAAAGTCGATGTTATTTGGGTAAATCGTAATGTCGAAAATTTTTCTTGGTTTTTACAATTATTTAATGAGTTTGAAAATGAACAATCAACTTATCTTGAAAGTTTACGAGCCATCGGTATTAGTCCAAAACGTTTCATTGATTTTCATTTCTATTATACAAATTTGAAAAGTAACAATCAAGTAATGATTCGTAATGTTCCTATTGACCTGGCCACTACTGCCTATGGAGATGTATTAAATAAAGATATTCTTACTAAAATGAGAACAAAAACAATTTTGGGCAGACCTCAATGGTCACTATTATTTGCCAAATTTAAAGCTGAACATCAGAGAACAAGTGTCTTCTTTACAGGTCAACCTGCCATGGGTGATGATATCAAACGTTGGTGTGATCAGTATCAATTCTTGTACTATCATGAACCATACTATTAATTCTGTAGTACAAAAGTTCGTGCATATTTTATGATATCAAGCAAAATTGTTTGCTACATATGGAATTATATTGAAATGGTATTTTTGTTTTTTACTTTTTGAAAAAATAAACATTAAACAATTAAGAACTATGGTTTTTTAATTATAAAACAAAGAACAGATTTTTTTTTCTTTATAGTATTTTCATAAAAATATGAAATGTTTAATGAAATTAATCTAAATACATCTCGATATAAATTAATATATTTTCAGATTGATCTCCTTCAATGATTTTTGATTTTGAAAACATTATTTAATTACATGGATTGTCATTCAAAACATTTAACATCAAATAATTCCTCAACACATCTCTTTTTTGAGGCATATATCTCTAGTCTTAGTATTTTTGTACATCTAAACCACTAACGTGAATCGATCGCTTAACTAATACATTCCAAACATAGTAGAATGAATTCATATCGATAATCACTATTCTAACATTTTGGCAATTAACTAACAACATGAAGCAGTTCAATGATTATAGCGATGATTTTCTACACTGTAAGAAAAAAGGAGTTCTACCAAAATTTGAAGGTTTCGCAATGGTTTTCGAAACCATTTTAAGTTCCGTGGGATGAAAAAGGTTTCGTAGTCTTCATACTGAACCTTTTTAAGTTCCGAAAACCGACGAAGGTTTCGAAGTTTCAAGACGAAACCTTCCTAGAGTTTCGTGCACTGTGTACTGAACTTTCGGAGGTTTCGTAGGTTTCGTACGAAACCGTTGAGAGTTTCGTAGAGTATCTAAAGGTTCCGTAGCAATTCTACGAAACCTTTCATAGTTTCATAAGTGCTCTTATGGTTCCGGAGATGTTGCACGAAACCAGCCGTGGTTTCGTAAAAGATATACCGAACCATTACATTGTTTACAAAGCTATGAATAGTTTCGTACAATTTAGACTGAACCTTTTGATGTTTTACGAAACCTCTGATAGTTTCGTGGAACAGACAAAGGTTCCGCATATCTTATACGGATCTATCAAAAGTTTCGTAAAACATGAAAAGGTTCGGCATGCACTATACGAAACTGTTCATAGTTTCGTAAATGATGTAATGGTTCGGTATATCTTTTACGAAACCATGGCTAGTCTCGTACAACCTTTCCGTAATTATTAGAGCGCTTATGCACCTATGAATGGCTTCGTAGAACTAATACGAAACCTTTAGATGCTCTGCGAAACTGCCGATGGTTTTGTGACATATATACAAAACCTTCAGATAAATGACGAAGCTTTTAATGGTTTCGTATAAAATATACGAAACTATTGTATGCATTTCGAAACTATCAATGGTTTCGTAAAATGTCTCCGAAACCTTTCCAACATTTACGAAACTATGCATGGTTCCGTAAAGATATGTCGAACCATTGCATCATTCACGAAACTATCGATGATTTCGTATCACGTATACGGAACCCTTAGATGCTTTACGAAACTATCTATGGTTTCGTAGAATGTGTCCAGAACCAAAATAAAGATTGAAAATCCATCAATAGTTCCGTAAAATTTCTACGGAACCATTTTACTAGA